ACATTGTATCAAAGCAAGCGCTGATAAGAAACTGAAACCTTGAATTTCATTGGCTTGGTGATATGAAGCTCACTCCCAACCCATTCTTCAGCCACCACCACGGGCTTTGGCGACATGGCTCCCACCGGCTGCCCACCAAGGATAGTACTGCAATCTGAGCCAGATTCTGGCACATGCAGAGACTTAAGGGTTTGGGTCAGCTGGATGAAAGGAAACGGACCAAACAGGGTTGAATGGACAATAAATGGTGTTGACCCATTTCCTGAATATCAGCCGCAAGTTGAACAACCCAGACTTATTAAAGAGGCAACATGTTTGTCCATACAGCATTTTGCAAAACCCCCATTCCAAACACCAGCAGCTAGGGCAGGTCGCACCTTTCAAAGCATGATGCCGTAAAAGGCCCATTGCTGAGGCACTTGGGATGCATTGAGTAATATCACCTTGTGTTTCAGCTCATGTCTTCTAGCGATATTGAAGTTAACATTGACCAAAGTAGCGATACCATGAGGTGCTGCAAGACTTGAAAGCAGCTTGGCAGTTCAATGCCATGCGCAGCCATGCCTCATGTTGAAAATTGAATCGACACCTGCTTCTGCGGCGAGGCGGACTGGACCTTGGAAGTGGTTGGGTGGGAAAACAGGATAGTTCCATTTCTGGCAGTTCTAGTTTCTTCCCAGCACGGTCATGGGGGCTGCCCCCAAGTCACGACAGTTCTGACAGGGTTTTGGATCAATCACTCGCTCACAAGCTACATTTCGAATCACTCGCTCACAGCTAACATGGATCCCCAGGGTGTAGATGAAGATCCAAATCCTGTGGGCCTCCTAGTTCTGACACGCTCAGATTGTTCCGAAGCAACTGGTACCAGTCTGAACGTCTACAGCGCAGTTCTTTCCGCTGATTGTTTGGATGCGGTACGGGAATACACTCGCTGTAACTAACATGAAAGTGACCATTTCCTTTACAAGCAGGGGATTGTCCACTTCCATTTTAGTTCCAGGGAGGTATGTTGCTTCAACAATCGATCAAGGAATCATCCTCTTGCCGGTAGAGGATTGAATGGTATTTATTGGGTTTGGTAGTCAGAAAATGGTTTTTATCAGGGATCAGTACGTCCACTTCATTCTTGGAGGGAGCGAAAATATGTAAGAGGCTTCAGCATGACTTTCTCTCTTTGGACCTTGAAGTCACATCATTGCAGTACTTGATCCTATGTTTTGAAATTGCTTTCTGGGCGCTGTTTGCTTTGAACACCGCTTTCTCCGTCGATCGCATCCTCCCACCTGCCTGACCCAAAAGTCGCTGGGAAAAGCATTCATCGAGCAATCAACGTTCGATGCATTTGATAGAACCGAGAAAGCCAGTGGATAAATGGCTATAGGCTATATATATATAAGTTCAACAGAATGGTGCAGGCAGATCCTGTTTCTTTAGAGCTTGGATATCCCGGCATTTGATAGATTTGCCTGGAGTTCAACAGTACGCATGTTCTCCACTAACTAGAAGCGGACTTGAATGTGTGTGTGTGTGTGTCCCTGGTCATTGATTTCATATTCGTATACCCACATGTTTGCTTATGGCAGAGTGCAACTAAGTTAAGTGCTGCTACTGGCACGTTGTAGATGCAAATGTACAAGTTCGTGTACAAGTGATATACCTTCCCAATTCGGCCATTTTCAAGCAGGTGTCCAGGTGTCCCTTTGTGAGAAAAAGCAGCACTAGAAGTCCAAAGAAAGAGCTGCACTACCCTAGAAGTCAGACTTTTCCTTCGTATCAGGAACCAACAGAGGTTGAATGACCCGAACTAGACTATCCCAGTTGGGTACCCCAGTAGGGTCCTAGTTCAGGTCACTGGCTACCTCTCTTGGAATATCAGGTCCCCGTTCCTCAGGTCTCCGTTCCTCAAACCCAGTTTGCTTTTGATGGTCGTTCCTCAGACCGTCCCACTTCGCCGATCGCCGATCCAACATCGACACCTTCAACCTGCCCCTTCGGTGTTCGCCGTCGTCTCTCCGGCCCATTTTTGGTTTCATGCAGTGGGCTTTTGGTATCTCTTTTGTTCCTTTCCAAAGACCTGAACCACAAAAAATACCTGGAGTCGACCCGTTCGTACCTCGGGTTCAATGGGTAGGACGTCGTAGCTGTTTTTTGTTCGGGTCATGGTCCCATGTTCGAAGGTACTGGGTCAGTCGGGTCCAGGTAGAGTGTTTCAAGCCATGGAGTCACATGTCAAGCCGTTCGTGTTCGTCTTTGGTTCGGTCCACCTACGTGGCCGGCCCGGTTCGTTGGAGCACGAGCGTCCCGACCTGGAACATGTCATCTAATTGAGACCTCTTAAGATTCTTAAGGCCCAACCAAAGGAGACCTGTTGGAGGGTCATGGTATATACACCCTATAGTACCAGTCCTAGTACCCTAGTATATCCTATAGTACCCTAGGGTTATGGAACTGCTGGACGTTGTTCTTTCTTTGCCCCGGACCGGACCGGAACGACCGGACCGGAACGGTCGAGTCGCCCAGGACCTCTATGGATATGAGCTGGAGCCTTGGCGGCACCCGGCGGAGAGATGCTGTAAAGACGATCACTATAAATGTCCCTCAAAGAATGGATCATGAAATCCTTGACCCCAACCCCTTAAGCATGATTGCAAGGAATATCTATATAATAACTATAATCACTGCATGGAGTGACCATGCAGGTGAGGTGAAAAGGGTGGAGGGTGGATGACCTGCCGGTCAAGCCAAGTGAGCGCTGAACGAGAACTCGTTCAGCTGCGCCGCCCGAACCACCCCAACGGGTGGTTCCAAACCAAAGGCATGAAGGAATGTTGATGGGTTGGGTTTGTGAGTCTATCCTATTAACTGTAACAGTCGGTTAACAATGACTTTGTTCACAAGTGCTGCTCTTTTTCCTCTTTTTGTTCCCATACTAGATGATGGATGGCCAAACAGACTGGTAACGAGCAGAAACATCTGTGATTCAAGTTTGCAATGTAATTACCCCGAAACCAAAGGAGCAATTAACCTACTTTCTCAAGAGTTGGTGGCTGTGGTTCAAGTGCTTTGTCCCTGCATTGTTGGACGGAGAGCTGCCGTGCTTTGGAGCAATTCTTTTCATGACGCAGGATGCCAAGATGGCCTGAGCACAGAGAACAGGGGCGAATGGTTGAGGCTAAGGATGTAGATTGATTTTGTTTACTAGATGCACAAGTATTGACGCATTAGAACCAGGGATGGAGCGGTTCACTGTTTGGTGCTTGGCTTCGAATGGGCTTGGACCGGTTCGGATGACTACATGAAACAAATTTCTGTGACCACCAGGGAAGCATGTCAGGAAGGAGGCCTAGAGCTTATAAGAAGTCTCATGATGGGAGTCCCCACTGAAGAAAAAGCAGGGCTTAATGCAGGCTGATATTGCAAGAGCCTATCTTATTTGTATATGTATTGGAGAATGCTTTACTTGCATGTGTTGCAGAGATGTGTCTTTATTAGACAGTGCTGTAGTGCAAACAATGTGAGCAATATTCTTGTAAATTCTGACTCACAGCTGTGCAACAACCAGCCAAAGGCTGCTGGTTTTGCTCACAGTGCCATGGCTGCTGGTATTGTGGACTACAAAAATCATTCCAAACGTGTGGTGTGGTGCAAATTTTGCTAAGCTAACGTGATATGATATTGTCACTTTTCAATGGCAGGCGCAGTACTTTGTGCGGGTTTTGAGGTGTGGAAGTGCAATTTTCTTGGCAGGCACAGGGAAGCGTGAGGTTGCGAGGTGTGGCGGAGGTCACATTTCGTGGCACGCGCAGTACCTTGTGCGTGTTGGAGGTGTGGCAAGCTGAAACTGCGGAGCTCGTAGCTCAGCAGACAACCTCTTGTCTCCTGCCTTGCAAGAGCCACAATACCCGAAAGCAAATACAGTATATAAAAGGGTGTTGGGACAAGAAAGTTCGAGAACACATCACCATCTGTGATGCTTCTGTAGGACAAAGAACAGGGGCAAGTATGCCTGGAGAACAGCGGACCCAATTGCCTCGATCAATCTGCAGATGGTTTCTCTTAAAGCTTAAGTATATGTGTCTTTGTTTTTGTGTTGGGCGCAGGGAATCGTGAGGTTGCGAGTTGTGGTGGAGGTGTGAATGTCGCTGTGACATTGGGATTGGCGTGTGAACGGGTGTTGTTTGGAGGGGCTGGAATCGCGAAACTGCTTGGCAGGGCTGCTTGATGTTTGTGCTCCGATGAGGCTTCCTGCTTGACTTTTTGGAGGAAGTCTCGTACGAAATGCTCGCTTTGGAGACTTTGACATGTTATAAACGGACCAGAAAGGAATGCGCAATTGGAATGAGCACAACAACAACAACAACAACAACAGTGCAAGCAAGAGCATGCAAGCACACAACAGTTATGATGTTGGAGTAGCTGCTGATGGAATTGCATTGTGTTTGGATGCAAATCACTGGCAAATTCTGATGGTATGGGAGTTGTTGCTGATGAAATTCCTTTGTTTGGATGCAAATCAGATGGCAACAATCTATTTCTAAGCCATTTTGACTCCAAAACAGCCATTAGTTCAAGTGTTGCTAAATCTTTAGCGGATGGGCATTTGCTAAAATAATCTTGAGCGAATGCACATCCAGGAAAGGTCAATTGTTGGGAATCCTTGGGTTGTGCAAATCACTCTTAAAGATACAGCCGTTGCCGTTTTGTCGGGCGAAAAGTTTGAAGCCTTGGCTTTCATCGGTGACGAATGTGATTCCCAAACAATGGACGTATGGAATAGTTGCCTACTTTTGCGTGGTGTCATGATGCTTTTGAGGGTCAATGTAGGTACGATTCCATACATGGATTGTGGGGGATTATTTCATTTTACGTGCGGCCCGAAGGGTGATGATTGAACGTGGTGTTTCGAAGCAAACCATTGGTGAAAGTCGTTCAGGTCGGTGCATCTTTGCAGGTCTGTCGGTCTTTTCACATGAAAACAAACCGACAGACCTCCGCAGCTCTTGAGGAACTCATGGGATTCTTCAGCGACGAGCTGTTCGTGTGCGGAATTTGGCTTCAAGACGAGTGGAGAGCACCTGGGATTGGAGCCAGAGGACACGTGCGCAGTGTCCAGTCCGCGTATTTGACTTGGAAGGTAATGATAATGATATCCTTGTAGTTTTTTCGGGAGATCCATGGTTGCACCGCCTTGTATGGTTTTCACTTCATCCACGTTTTTTTGGGGGAGTTTGTGTTCCGAAGGTGCGTTTGCCACGAAGCTGTTGTGGTTCTTGTTTTCCCAAATCCCAAGTGGGTCCTTAGAGTCACTCCGACCCCGGTCTCAGGGAAATTCACTGGTGTTACGTGAGAGAAAGAGTTGAAGTTCCATGCGGTTCAATGCTTAGCCACGTGATATCGGTATACCTCTGCCTACTTGGCCCCTTTTTTGATCATCAGTTTACTCTTTTTTCACCAAAACGCGTGAGAATACTGTGAGATCTGTTTTTCATCTGGAGAGGTGTTTGTATATATAGAACATGTTTTTGCCTTCAGAACTTCACATTCATCCTCATTTTCTTTGGAGCGGTCAAGCACGTCGCTTTGCCCCAGGTGAATCCTCGTGGAGAGCTCCACAACGGTGCCGACCGGAACTTCCACTGCGTGCCCGTCGGGGAGCGGCGTCGGGTCCGACGGGTCGGGCGGGGCGACCTGCGCTGCGCCGGTTTAGCCAGTTTAGAGCGTTTTTTCGACCAAGGACGCCTGCGGCTGCGAGCATTTTGTGGCTGACTGTGTGCAAATTACTTAGGTATACACCGATCATGATACACCTGCGTCCACATAGATATCAACACTCCGTGAAATTCTAGCCAACGCCAACAGACCGTGTCCAACACAAACCACTCAAGACCGCAAGTCCACATATGTTGGAATTGGTTTGGCGGGGTGCGGCTGGGACCCGGTGTTTTCTTGTTAAATATTGGTGTGGTCTGCCAGGGTCAGATTGGATGTTCTTAGTGAGACCGAGTTGCCTTGCACCATAACTCGGCACTTTTAAGCCGTGATCCCTCGAAGCAGCGGTCGAAAACAATACCTGACACTGTCACATGTTTGGCTTCCACGCGGTTCCAAAACCCGCGCGTTTGGTTCCGAGACCACCAATTACGTCTACAATCACCCAAATCTCCTGCAGACCAATGGCGGACGTTTTAGGGGCACATCCACCGATTGCTTGGGAGGGATCTGTGCTCGGTTCCCATGAAACAGCGGGGTGAACTGTGTGGGATTTTGTAAATGTGATGTTTTTAATATTCTTGTTGGGTGTGTGTGATGAGTGACATAATGAGTGATGACCCAATGTGTTGTTATTTGTGACGAAGTATAGTGAAGGTGTGCCGAGCGCAACCAACAAGTAAGTGTTGGTGTTCTCGTTCGTATGTATAATATATTCATTGTGATCAAGCGTGGCATTGTGCCAAGAGTTACCAAGCTGAGTCGAAAAAAAAAAAAACCGGGAATATGTGTTAAGTAAGGCATGTTCCCAGAGGTTCAGAAATCGCTTGGCCACCGCTTGGTATTCTGGTGTTTAAAGTGGGTATGTTACCTCGTCGCGCTAGCAAAACGCAGGGTTGCGCTAGGTTCGCACTAGGTTTGGCGCTAGGATCAAGTACTTAGGTAACTTAGAAAAGATTAACAAACAAGAGCTGATTGTAACGGTCACTCATTGGTGCACATACACACACACACACCCGCATAGGCACAAGAGCAGCAACTGTTTGAAAGGCAGCGCGCGCTGAAAAAGGCAGCAACTGTTTGAAAGGGAGTAACTGTTTGAGAGACGAGAAAGCGAGTTCTTGATCACAGACGTTTGGTGGCCTCATGCACTGGCAGGGAAGCGCGCTAGATCCTCGCTAGACCCGCGCTAGATCCGCGCTAGACCCCTTTGCAACTTTGACCACTTGTCCAAGTGCTTTCCAGGGTGTATAGTCTTGGCAATTTGTTTCTGTGTGCAAGAGGGTGGCTACTTTGAGCTTCACATTTGGAACCATTGGACTCTGTAAGTAAGAACGCAGCTGCTAAAAGGGCATACACAACATACAACCATATACATGAGCGCATGTTGGGTACATGATGGCCACCGCTTGGAATTGCTGTGATTCCAACCTAGGATAATGATTTTAGAACGGGTTTTTTTTCACCTCAAGTGTGTGCAGACCCAAACATAGATAGAAAAGTGAATCCTCACTGAAAATGTATTGGAAACCGTTTCTATCTATTTGGGGACCTATGTATAATGAGAGATAAGAAAAACAATCACCATCCTAAACCCCTTGCCTCAGGATCCTTTTGTTGTAGCGTACTGTCTCACTTGGACGCGAGGACCGGCGTCCCTACCTTCCACATGACGTCCGGAACTTGCCTCGTTTGCGGCCATCCACAGCCCTGTTGATGCTGAAGATGGCAAAGCCTTGTTCCTCGGATGTCCGGATGTCCACATTTCAGACCGAAAAGGGATTCCTATAGATGGGACGATGGGTGTCTTCCCGTGTCAGATCAAACTTACAGGCACAGAGTGTTGGATCATGTTTGCCCTCCACTGCAGGGCATTTCTTGGGCTACAACATGCCTCCTGCATGTTTAGTCACTGAGCATGCTACAGGGCCAGTGGTGTTGCAGAATTTGTCCAATCATTTAGTCCCGCGGAGGGCTATGTGTGGAAGCCGGCTATCGCTATGTTTGTGGTTATGGTTGTGATACCCTAGGGCTCCTGGCCTACCTCCGTTTCGAAGGTGGTTGGGGTGGGTGCCAGGGGGGTCTAACCACCGAACCTGAGGATATGGGCCAGGAGCCCTAGGGATATATAGTGTTTGTGTGTTTAGAGATTGACCGAGTTGTTGACAGTAACTCACATGCCACATGCTGTTGTCCAACAAAACATTTATGGACATTGATAGAGGGACATATTATGAACCTGCAGATGTATGCATTATGTAATATTATGTATGCTAGATAAGTCTGAAAAGAAAGACGATATGAAGATATGACCCCGGATTCTTGATACCAACCAGATGTTTGCTAAATTGTGGAAGACAAAGACACAACACGTAACTTGTGAGGAGACCACATGTAGTGAGACAACACCATGTTTTCGGAGTCTCTTTCAGAAGGAATCACTCAATCAAACATGTGAGATGCAACCTGGTCGGGAATGAACCACCGGCCGGGTTTTGCGGTGCTTTTGTGAATCCATTTCTGGGGATGTGAGTGTGATTCCACAACCAGTGTGGTAACACCGGTTCAACACCGCTTGCCCGGTGTTGATGTGTGTGGTTCCGCCGCCGCAGACTCCAAGCGGCGGTCAAGCGCGCGGAAGCGCTCGAGGCCCAGGTGAGCGGCTCCTGGATCCGTTTGGAGGTGGACGGGACGAGTTCGGAGATGGGAATGCAGTCCTGGGAGAAACAAGGTGAGCATTCCCAGACACGACTTCCATGGGTCATGCCGATCAATTGGGGTGGTTTGAGGGGTCAATGAGATACAGTCCCTCCAGTGTTGGATTGACTTCCAGGTGGGGAAAAGTGAGTCAAGTCGCGGAAGTTCTGGGTCGTTTTGGGCAACATAAGAGTCAAAGAGTCTACCTGTTGTCTTGGTACTTCGGACTAAATGGGTGCAGTCGTAGCTGTGTTTTGTTCGGGTCTTACGCTTGGCCATGTTTGAGGAAACGAACCAAATCGGGTCCAGGTAGACGTTTACTGGGGGGTCGGTGATGTTGAGATCCACTGTGTTGAGTTGCATACAATTCGCTGGTGCTCAGGAGGGCAGTGAGCCAAGGATCTCCAGGGAGTGCCACAACCCCCCTACGGGCACTGAATCCACTGACCGTGAGTCGGTTGCAGTTCTGTTACTACTGACGCACATGGACGCAAGATGACATTGAATGACGTTTTTTGTGGGCCTGGGCACGTCAAGAAAGGAGGGTGTTTTTGGAGAGGTAAAACGGCAAGGGGCCACCTGTGACCTGTGACTTCACCCTGTGAGCCTGTGAGCCTCATGTGATACCCACTACACTACCCACGACTTTGACCGGAATCAAATCGTACGCTACGCGTAGCCGGCGGTCGCTGGTGGTTGCGAAAACTTCATGGGACTGGCAGTCTCCCGATCAGTAGAGCTCGGTGTGGTTGATTGCAGAGCTCGGTTGAGGCAAGGGGCGGCCTCTCTTCCAGTCCCGTCGTGGTTGGGTATCCCAGGCCCCAGGACCTAAGTGACCATCCAGAGCCCAGAAAATCAAGTCAGGTCACTGGGATGCAGGGGTGTATTCTAGAGGTGTCCAGGAGTTTGTTTGTTCTGTATTTTCCCGAGCCTTCCATTTGATAGAGATCCTGAAGATAGGCTCCGGGCCTCCTTTCATGTGGCTATAGATGGGTCTGTGTCCAACTTGGCTTCGGAAAGAAGGCGTCGCATCGTGAAACGTCCTTTGCACTTCATAGCACTTCATCCTTCTTTATCACCAACACCTGAAGTGGGGTGCTTCCAACACCCACCCGCGGGGAATTCTGAAGCGAAGGAAGAAGCGTCGAGCCTCCATTTGGGCACAAGCACGTACCTCCTGGCAGTCAGGAAACATGTTGTCCACTTTCGCTGGAGAATCTATGCATCGCTTCCTTCAAGTGACACATGATCCGGTGCTGAAGCAATGAGACACACCGGGTATGAATTTGCCCAGTAGAATACAGTGTAGTCCTTTGTAAACTAACATACCCAGAAAGGCTAGACAGGCAGATGGAAAACAAACAGGGCTGATAAACACACGTTGATAAACACATCCATCCCAAACATGACATATCCAAACCCTTTGCTCTCAGTAGTTCTTTCCAGTGGATGATTGTACAAAGGAATCGGTGTGCATCATCGAACTTCTCAAACCATGTGTCACCCTGCGTAGCTTGCCAACTGATATATCACGTATTTGCGCATGCGAGAGTTTTTGGTTTCGGTCATGCTCTGTATTGCATAACTTCTCCTAGAGTACCCCACACTTCGTGGAAGGGCTGATTCTCCGGGACATGTCCGGGACGTGTCTGTGTGTGTCATCGGTCGGCCTTCGGCCTTGTTTTGGTCCACTGACTCACCCTAGGGCTCCAACCATATCCTCAGAAGGTGGGTTAGACCCCCCAAACCCACCCCAAACACCTTCTCAGAAGGTACTTGGAGCCCTATGGTGACTCAGTCAGGTGTCGGCACCATTGCTGTTGAAGCTGCATGTCGCTTCCCTGGACTGCTGTGCATCAGCTCCGACAAGGACGGGATGACGGGAGTGGATGGTGACCCGTCTCGACCGCCGTCTCGACCTGCGCTGCAGAGACCTGCTGATTGACCGCCACAAGTCCATCATTTCCCGGACATTGGATGAAAGTACCTGGACCCGACTGACCCAGTGCCTTAGAAAATGGGACATGACCCCATCAAATCAGGTACAGTACTTGTACCCAGGACTTCCGAGGTACGAGTTCCAGGTCGACTCCAGGTAGAATGAAAGAAGTGCCGTCCTTTTCATAGTTCCCCTCTGGCACTTCTTCGATGGACGATTCCCGGTCCCCAGACACCACCGGTGGGACTGACGTATATGCCTAATTGACCCCAGGTCAAGCACTCAAATGTATGCAGTCCCATGGCAGTCCCATGGAGGCTGAGTGTTTTGGGAGTCAGAAACAGTTTAAACACTATGTCACTCTCGCTCCATGGTGCTTCTTCTATTCACCATCATTCACTCATATTCACCCATATTACATCGGATATCAGGTTCGTCGGTGCACAACGAGCAGCTTACCTTCGGACCCTGGATCCACCCAGACTACAGGGTCCGGTTCGCCGGAACGGAACGGACCCTGTGGAGAGACCTGCGACCAGAGACCTGCCCCATGATGTTTGCAACCGAACATGCCAAGTACAACAAGACATGAAAACAGAGACGTTTTAAGCATGTTTTGTAAACCTCCTGGCAGGTGCCTCACTACATCAATCTTTGATAACTAAGCAGTGATGATTGCGCTGAGGATCCAAGCGCCTGCCACACTGCCAGCCTGCATTGCCAGCTGGCGAAGAAGATGGGTGTCCTTCAACCAGGCACGAGGAAGATATGGTTCTTCTATGGGTCCTTAGGGCTCCATCGATCGCTAGTAGGTTGAATTGACAAATGGATCCTCCAGTCCTACTGGTACCTTCTCAGAAGGTACTTCGGCCCTCCTGGCACCCATCCCAGCTTTACCGAACCGACCCGGAAGCCTTCAGAGCCCAAATGGGGGGCCTGGCTCCTCGGAGAGGATAGCGCGCATGAGGAGCCAGGGGTTCTTGGAACAGAAATGAACCTCGCTGATCTCTTGCGAGGTTCCTCCCTGGAACGCCGTCAGTGGGATGCCAGGAAGTTGAAGCTGGAGCCTTGGCCTTTTCGCGCCTGGAGCCCCCGGCAGGACCCTACAGCCGGGCCCTGCACCCCAAAGATGGCCCCGGATTCAATCGACGCCGTGGCCAGGACCGGTTCCGAGGCACTGAATGCTGTGAGAGCAGAAAATGGAAATCCCTTAGACAAGTGCTCGGGGAAGGGAGCCAACTATATACGTGTCGCGTTCAGACATCGAGTCGAACTCTATGTGCTGTGAAGCTGTGAAGCTGTGGGGCTGTGATGTAGATGGGGTGAGGTTTGCTTCATTCTGTTTCTTCCACATCATCCACATCCCAAACCCCATGAGCTGAAGAGGTGGCAGACATGGCGCCCTACACCCTCCAAATGAGGGGTTTGGACTACGCAACAGTCAAGATGGCCCTTACAGGTCAGTTTGACCTCATTTTACTGGAATCAAATATATAACTGTATATCTAAAGCACTATACTCAAATGAGGTGTTCAGGACCAGGTCCTACTGGGTCAGACTGGACCAGGTCCTACCCGGCCGATCTGAGGCGGATCATTCCGTGGACCTGGTGGTCAGTGACTTGCCCTTCCTCAACCGCTGTGACTTCGATTTCCATGAGAAGGGCAGGGAAGGCGCCGCTGAGGTACCATTTTTTTCTTTACTTTGTGTATGTGTTTGTTTTATCATAACGCATATATATATATAACTATATACCCTGACGCAGCTGCCCCAGAGCCAACCTGTGAGATCCACCAAGCCCGGGCCGTTGCTCGGAAGTCGTCGGACAGGTCGTCTGACAGGGATAGGACAGCTCAACATCGTGGCGAAGGAGTCCACCCTGATCCTCCAAAGAAGTTGCCTAGACTTGGGCTCCAAATGCATCCAAAGTCCTTTGGGATGGGTGCCTAGACTTAACATCACCCATTACCCATCCATGATATCGCTGTGAACATCATGGGCTAATGGCAAAAATTGGAAAATTGGATGCGTCCTGGGCCATGATTCAGCTCAGCTCTCCAGGCTCCACCTCCGCGCGGCAGGGCCTGGCAGCCGTGCTGCGTGAGCTGAGCCGCGTGCTGCGCGGCGTCTGGTCGTCAGGCAGAGCGGAGCCGGGTGCAGGGAGGGTGCGTTGCTCAAAGCCTGCTTTGGGGGGGCTGCGTGCGAGCTTGGTGAGATGCGGATGTGAGGCTGCTACTTCTAGCTGAGGATGCCATTGGAATGTTGATGCACTGCAAGCAGAAATCGTTTTATTGGACAGTGAGCTTGTTGTTCGGCAGCGGTTGTCATAAGACGCAGCTTTCGTCGACTTTGGCCTGGAATTTGAGAAGGGAAACATGCGCAAGGTTGGCCATTACAGTCCTTTGACCAACTGCTTTATAGGGTGCACGATAGTGTTTGAGTCGTACCATACGGCCGCCAGCCATATAAGACTGACTTTAGTAGTGGCCCACGCCATTACATGGAATCCTGACATCGTGTCTCAAAAGGCCTTGTTCTCGGACTCACTCCAGGCACACCAGGCTTGGCCATTCTCTTAGTGCAATCCAGGCGCATCGGTGCGGGTATGTTGTGTGTCCGTGGTACAGTGGCTTTCGATGCGGCATGAAGTTCTTCTCTCACAACTTTTGATCCACCTCGAAGACAGGTCACCTATAAACAGTCTTGACGTGGGTGATTGAGGGCATCCTTGACTAGTCTGCCAATCTTGGAGTCGACGAGCCCCTGACATGGTTGGTACTGAGGAGGCCAATCCGAACAAAGCCCCAAGCCCCAAGCCCCACCAGTCAGAGGACGAGCTTGACATGACACCTCAACCCCCAGGCATATTCTAGAGGATGCTTTGCGCTACAGCGATGGCTGCCTCAGACTGCAGGAGATTGTGCTTTGGGGTTGGAGGGAGTGGCGCCAGTTCCTGTTTTCTTATGTCTTCTTGCATCCCATAGGCTGCCAAGCGGCGAACTTCAGTTCCTGGCATTCCAGCAACCCCAAAGCTCGCTAGCGAGAGTGGTCGTAGTGCCCAGGTGCGTATGTGTATGTGGCTTGGTGCATTTTGGTGGCCTTTGGCCTTGGCCATTCTTTCTGTTTTGCAAATGACCCTGGAAGCAAAAAAACACTTGAGCAGTTCTCAATGATGGCAAGCCACTGAGGAATTTTCGGTAACGCGCATGTGCTCAGTGACTTCCCCCAAAGAGGCTGCAGAGATGTAGCAAAACCCAAAAACATTCAGGCTCGAGCAGGATATGTCGATCAAAACGTGGCGACGTTATCCGGTTGGTCGGCTGGAGTAGTGGGCGATTGATCAGATGTCGTAGAAAAAGAACCTGGTTTTCTTGGGATTATTGTTCATTCCCTCTTTGTGGCCTTTGGGCCGGTGAATCCCCAGAACTGGGGAGTAATGATGTTTCATGTGTTTTCCGCAAATCCATGAGAATTCTTGAAGACTTGAAGCAGTAACGACCATGTGACAACGACCCATGTGGCAACGACTGGCAGCTACCACATGTCATGGCCTGCATGGTGCTTCGCTTCCAGAGACCCTGGACCGGTTTAACCGTCCGGTGTGGCGAACGTCGCGGTGGCTTGTTTTTTCCTCACCACCAACCCACCCAACCAGACGACCAAGGGGAAACCATCAAAAACCAGGTCTTTCCATAGCAAAAAGCATGGTGTTTGTCTATGAAAACCATTGTTTTGTCCATGGTTTTAAGGGGCCCCAGGCTAGGTATTACATGGTATTGGTTGGTGAGGTGTTTTACGGTGTTTTGCTTTTTCTCCCCCTCAACCAAGACACCAGGGCCCTTTTTTCAACGCCGTTTCGCCGTGGCATTGGGGACGGCGAACCGCGGCTTCCCGCGGCAGGATCCGACGCGGCGCGGGATCCGCGCCGGATCCGCGCCGGATCCGAACCCTCGACCGGTGGTCATTGGCGGCGCAGCCTGTTGGATCTTCGTTCTGGACCGCCGCGGTTTCGTGGCTTTTTGGAGACACCAAGGGTCCAAGGAAGACCTTCAGGGTTCTGAACTATGTGAGGTTTTGCGCAGGACATCAACATAATGCAATGTGAAGACCCATCCTTTTATTATATATATATATATGCATGCAAAGCAATGATCCCACAAGTTGTTTTTTCTGCCAAGACCCTCACGATGTGTCAAATAAAGTCCTACCCCCATCCTGTGCCAACAACTCAAAAGCTGTTGCCTGTTGCAAGAATTAGATGTTGCCAGTCCCCAACTGCTATGAGACAGACTACGAACCTCCAAGGTTCGCAACCCGTCGGAAGAGCGAAACCATCATGGTAGCCTGGATCTTCAAATGACAAACATCTTTGAGAGTTTCAAGGTATAACAAGGATGGAATGCCAACTCGAGTCAATCAACTCCCTCGTTGTCACAGGATGTTGAAGAAGACATATCCCACATGTATTTGACTCTCTACATGCTAACTTTGTTGAACATGTCAACTCACATGACCATGCTCTATGTTGGTACAAGGCAGTACAAGGTGACTCAGAGTTTCTATGACAACTATTGGTAGATGGTGGCGAAGGAATTTCGACATGTCACCCATTATATCGCAGCTATGCTGCGCCTGTGTGACATGTGGTGGTTTATCATTGAACTCATAGGATCAGCGTTTGGCCCCAGTTTTTTTATTTTTTTTTCGGAAGGCTGAACGGTGATCCTATGAGGGAAGTGATACACCGGGTTTAGCCCCATTTATTTATATGTGTGTTATCACGTCCCGGTTCAAATTATTTCCTACCTTGCATATCCCAAGAACCTACTTCCCTGGGTTAGTGTGGCACACAGGCAACATCAGCCGACCCAATGTTTTGTTTGCACACCCGATTTGTTTATTTACGGTTTTTTAGTTTTATTTGTTCCGCACGCATCCGCAAAGCAGCCGCAAATCCTGAAAACTGATCATTGATTTAGTGCACAATGGAATACATGAGGCACAAAAATTCAACTCCAATGAGGAGTGTACAGTAACAGGAAAAGGTGTGCACATAAGAGAGCCTGCTTGGAACTTGTATAGGCACATATTGGCCAAATTCTTAGACCAAAAGGTACGCGCAGCCAACAATTCAGAGAATTTGATCTCCTTCCAACGTTCACAGCCAAAAATAGTGAGGATTGGGGCGGCGTACAGGGTGGAGGGGACCCCAACGAAACCGTGGAAGTCAAAACACAAACGACCAAAATGGCAGATTCTCCAGGACAACACCCAAGCAATCAAACGTCCTAAACATAAATATATAGTATATTATTTGCCCTGCAAGTCCATATAGGGCCAACACCGGATCCTGGTTAGATGTCGGGCTCGACTTACTTGGCATTGTGTTGTGGATGGCCCATAGGTAGGCAGTTCTTCTCCTAGTGCCTGCAAGTCCGCGAGGAGAATACTACGAAGCAGACTGAGCCAGGCGAGGTTCTTGCGATCTTGTCATGTTTGGACGTCCTGGGACCCCCCAAAATCACATGGTTTCTGGGCCATGACTCTACAGGTCTTCGAAATGGAGGGTTGTTGGGCCCGGGAAAGGGTTCTCAATTGGTGAGCTGGCAGTGAGGTGCTGGGGCTGGTACCATGGTTGGGTCACCAATTCGGCACATGTCATGAGGTGACTAGTAAGACACGTGTTAGTAGTAGCGATGCACTTGTTACTACTAGTAGCACTACTAGTAAGGCACTTGTTACTACTAGCGAGGCACTTGTTCCTAGTAGCTTCTTTGTTACTACTTTAAACGGCCTGAGTTCCCGAGTGGTGTCTCGACTTTCCCGACTGCACGAGTGTGTTCGGCCAGACGTCTCTCCGGCCGGTCGTCTCATGCAGAGTGGGCAGGCTCGAGTGGGAAGCCATCCCTACCCTTCCGGCAACAGCGCGGAGTTACTCTGACGGCGCATTCATGAACAGATTTGAGCTGTGGGTTCTGTAGTAGAAGGAAGTTAGGGCCCAACATGGCCCAACACAGGATCATCTCGGGGATCTGGGTAATGATGTGGCTGTTGCAGGGACATGTGGGTGATATGCTTTAGTCCAACATCTGTTTTATGAAAGGGGCTCTACGTATGAGCCAATACCATGCCAAGACCATATGCTCTGAGACTTTGCATCCACCTGCCACAGCATTCTGACTGAGGCTCCACCTGCCTCTTACGTTTGTCGCAGCTGTCAACAGCCTGGCCACTGGCGAG